ACTTACACTTTCTTTAATTTTTTTTACATAGTACGTTTATCTACAATCTATGATATTTCCATATAAATAATTATATGTTAGCTCATTTGTTGCACAGTGCAGCGGCGGGCTGGATGAACTAACCGTAGTTTGGTGAACCCTGGTTTAAAGCAAAGGTCCTAAAACTGAGCCTTGAAGTACTCTACTTGTGATATTAATCTGGTTATAACAATCTTCTGCATTCTTCCATCCACCTGGTTTTCTACACAATGAGAATTTTGTTGGACAGTCAGCATAGTTTCACTAGAAGAAAATCTTGCCTAACTAAACTTTTGATATTCTATTGGTGTAGACTTGATGTATTTGGATTTTCAGAAAGCATTTAGCAAGGTGCCATTTAAAAGTAAAAACTACTTATTAATTGTGTTTGCATTATTATTACTTTGTGTTTGATTAAAATAATAGACACTGTGATCATTGTTTAAATGAAAAAAATATACATTAAAATGTATGGTGTTAGATTGGGATTCACATTTATTTTTTAGTAAACATTAAAATGTTTTACTTGATAAAATATATTTATCACTAGAGGACAGCACAATCATCACGCAAAGAATATTGTCAATATAGAGATAAAAGTGATAAATTACAATGGAAGGAAAAGAATTAAACGATGAGAAAACTGATTTACATGAGGTCGAATTATTTCTTAAAAATAAAGCTACATGTTGTACAGAAGAAAATATTGGCCAGGTTTTATCAACAAACTATGTAATTGTGGAACGCATACTGAATTGGCTTGCTGGACTTGACCTGAACTCGTGTGCTCAGGTTTGTAAACTGTGGAACAATGTGTCAAAAACTATCAAAAGCAGGCGACACAATCTATATTGGATGTTTCAGGTATGATAAAATAAAATATATGTTTCTGTGCAGAGGGTCAGCTGTGAATTCCATTAAACACCTTACTCCAACCTACAATTTACAAAGTTTTACTTTTCTGAATTGCAGAAGTTGTTAAACTTAACGTTAACTTAAACTTTTAGAACCGTAGTGCGTGGTTATGTTTTTGTCAGGACAAAAACTGTGTAATTGAAATTAAAACAAAGAATATGGATCAACCATGCTATAAATTATAATTTGACGTTTTCGTACACATCACAACATGTGTATGAAGAGAAGAACTCGACGTATCAATAGGACAAGAAACATCTCTCTTGTCTTAGTCCATTAGTGAGACAGCAACGTTTGTTTTTTAACATGGGCGTGAACCGACTTCATGGTCTGGTTGAACATAATGATAATAGTCATCACATGTTAAAAGTTTGAAACTGAATGACTACTAGTACAATTAGGATGTTGTAATAATTGTACAACAGGAAATACATATTGTATAACTAAATGGGAATATCAGTAAAATAGAAAACTGCCTGTATTACATCTTTCTGACAAAACTCTCTAGTTGCTATCAAAATCCCTCTGGAAACTAAAAGTAAAACAAGCCAAACTGATATTTCCTAGGAACAAGGCTTGGTTTTGGAAAGATAAGAAGAGAATATTGAACAAACATACATAAGAATTGCTCCCAAGCTTTGTTTCCTACTACGAGTAGAATAATTTAAATGTTGTGTACATAATCTTTATTAAGTATCACTGATGTTCAAGAATTTTCAGTTTTGATAGCATAATAACATTGTTGTGTTCATTGTTTTAATGTTTGATAAATAAATATAAAAACTATTGTGTGTTAATGTATCTTAGTTCATTTAGTATATCTGTGAAAAACAAACCTGTATGTAAAGTGTGATAGTGTATGAACCTGATAAATCATTATAGAATTTTATTTATATGAATATATCTCGTTCTCACGAATTCTTAATAAAAAGATTCATAATCAGATGCACAATTTCACTGTCAAACTAAGTTTGAGGAAAATTCATCATTCTGATGTACAAACATATATAACATAATGTTTTGGGACAACATGGGACCCATTGGTCCATCTTGGCTGTTCCATCCTCTAAACTAAATTAAAATGATTAAAAATAAAATCTTAAAGCCAGCCCCTTTTCATTCATATACTTATCAGGCTTTTTTATAAACTCACTTAAATTTTCTGCCTCTACAACATCCGAAGGCAACCCATTCCAAAGGCCAACCACCCTGTTAGAAAAATGAAACTGTCTTAGCTGAAGGTGACTCCTACCTTGCCAAAATTTATATTTGTGGCCCCTAGTCCTACCATTCTCGCTGTTAAATACAAAAACATGTGATGCATCAACACTATCAATTCTATTTACAATCTTAAACACCTCAATCAGATCCCCTCTAAATCTTTTTTCAAGAAAAAACAATTTGAGAGATTTCATCCTCTCCTCGTATGACAAACCCACCATCCCAGGTACCATTCTAGTAGCCCTTTCCAACAATTCAATGTTTTCCTAAAGTATGGAGCCCAAAACTGAACACTATTCCAAATGTGGCCTAACCAGTGACCTATACAATGAAAGTATAACCTCTTTAGACTTGTATTCAATATTTCTATAGATACAACCTAAAATCCTATTTGCTCTACCACTAGCAACATAACACTGCTTGGATGGCTTTAGAGACTGATCGACTATTACATCAAGATCCCTTTCCTTCATAACACTATTAAGGTTATTCCCATCCAAATTATACTTATAATTCAAATTATGATAACCCACATATATTATCTTGCATTTATTATAATTAAAACCAATCTGCCATTAATTCACCCAACTCATTAAATGATCTAAATCCTTTTGTAAATCAGCAGCATCCTCTTCACAGCTAGTAACACCCAAGACCTTAATATCCGGACAGATAGACAAACACAAGCGTATTATTTAAATAGATTTTCATTTTTGATAATATCCTTCAACTATGATTTTGGTCAATAGATGGCAGCAACGTATTTCGCTCTGCAAGAATAGTTAAAAGTATTTAAGAACTCGAATGTGTGTGTGTGTGTTACATACAGATGAGATAATATGATTAAGCAAAAACTATTTTTACATATCTTATAATAAGTGGTACAGTTTTCTGTCTATCAACTTTGTGTTAATCTTCTGTTTATGATGTCTGCTACTGCTTGCCTAATTAAGAAGACACTATTAAGTAACAACAATAGACTCGAGAAGTAGTTCATCATGATAAATAACAAAGATGTCTTACTCGAACTCTGAGTCTGCATGAATTTTTCTAACGCCCCCTGTCTTAACTTTGTTTAATTTTGTATGATATGTTTATTAGTTTAAGAAATATTGTTTCCTACAATATCAGTATGGCCATGGTATTATCTGAAGTGTTATGTTTGAGTTAACTAGAAAATACGTGAGAAAGTACCTTCTCTGACAAGCAAGATTTGTCAGTTGATGTCAATTTCTTCTTACAGTCTTGAAAACAAACTTTCCCTTCTAATAATTTTGATATTTTGTATGAATCATGTACAAATATAATACTTTATTTTTTCATTACCAAAATTGTACGTATCAGAGACAAAGATTACTTGCGGTGAGTTATATACAACTCAGACAACATATATCTGAATATAAATATGCTTAGATTGAGACAGGTAGATTATATATATATATATATTGTTTTACTTTACACAAGAGGTAACATATTAAATACATTCGAACCTTCAGTTTGATTTTTTTTTTTCAAATTAGTGTATACGTTAATTTTTCTTAGAACTTAAATAATATTATTTCCATGAAGTAAATTAATCAAAAGTAAAACACATTTCACTAGCCTTAGTGGCAGGATAAGTGATATCTAATAGAATCATATAGAAATATTTACATGACAAATTTAACAAAGTTGCGAGTATTTACTTTCTTAGTGTGGTAGTGGAACAAATATAAAATTCCAGAAACGATGGCGTAAAAACTACACAAGCTTTATCATATAGACACATTTGTTTTTTAAATCCTTCCCAATATATACACTGTTCAATCAACTATGTATTTCAGTATCAAAACTGAATATAACAACCATTCAAATAGAATTTGTAAGTGTGTAGCAAAGTAGTTAACATACTGAGGCTGTTAATATCCACTGAACTTTCATCTGTAAGCATGTTATAAAAGTGACTGTTAATCCCGTCAATCGATTCAAAAAGTTGAGCAAAACCATTACGGAGTCAGGTGATGCTGGCTACCTGACTTCCTTCTGTTTAGTAGTTCAAGATTTTGTGAACTCTAGTGATTTCTCATCTAGGTATTTAGTGCACATTATTATATAGTATTCGGGTTCAGAAATACAACTCCAGTTAGTAAAAAGATTACTCCAACTCCAGTTAGTAACAAGATTACTTCAACTCCAATGAATAAGAATCAGCTTTTGGGGCATTTGCCCTTTCTCAACTTTAGGGGTTAAGTAATCAGTGTTGTTAACTATTCTACATAGAGTTTAGAAGTAATTCTATTCTGTAAGATTAGAGTGTAGAAGTAATGATATACTGTAAGATTAGAGTGTAGAAGTAATGATATACTGTAAGATTAGAGTGTAGAAGTAATGATATACTGTAAGATTAGAGTGTAGAAGTAATGATATACTGTAAGATTAGAGTGTAGAAATAATTATATACTGTAAGATTAGAGTGTAGAAGTAATGATATACTGTAAGATTAGAGTTTAGAAGTAATGATATACTG